ATGTTGCAAAAATTGTGGATCTTCTTGGTATCGCACTAACATCGTTTCACAAAATTGTACACGTTGCACGGCGTCACCCGGATGAAGAGCAGAAAGTAGCTTAAATTTGTATGGATGCATATCATTAGTTCTTAGCATCCTGTGAATGGACGCTCGTGAAATGCCTAAATCATACTCTGCGGCACGAGTTGAGGATTCTGGATGAACATTAAAATAGGCTAGCACATTTATTACATTATCTTCATTTGAATAAGTTATTGGTTTTGGTAAAATTCTTTCTGCACAAATTCGACCATAGTCTAGTTGATTTCCTAAAATTCTTCTTAATTTTTTTCTGCTTATTGGTGGCAAATTTGGATATGTCTCATTAAAAACTGTACATGTTCTGCTTATAGTCCCATTGCAACGTCCGTGAATGAATAATAAAGTTAAAATATCAGCATTTGAATATGTATTTGTTTTCCATTTCTTATAAACACTAAATTAAACTGTCACTGCAATAGACTAACAACAAATTGACAGTTTAGTTGTTTGTTTTGAAGTTTTGCTAAAAATTCCACAGCTATCCTCGCAAGAAATTACATGATTTTAGGTGATTACACAAAAAAATAGTAGATATATTAAAAACTAGAAGAGATAGGTATAGGAAACCCTGATACCCTTCGAAAGAGAATAAAATTGTGGATTAGAATATAGAAAAACATACAGAAAACCGATATTAACTTTCTAGCACCCTGTATGCAATTAAGCCATTCTAATCTAGCTATCCTCCCTCTAAATATTGTTGCTTTATTTTTCTTACTATAAAATACACATGGTTTCAAGCTAGTCACTGTTTCTCTCCATTTTTTTGAAAAAAATTAAATATCTCGAAAACGGTTAATTTTACAAATAGGGAAACTTCATAAAAGACCACCTAAAATAACACGTAGAATACAAAATTGCAATAATATATAGGGTGTTCCATTTAAAATAAGCAAGTTGATGGCGACTTCCGGTATAACGGAAAGTGGCACGTGGACACCGTTATTTTACTCGAGAAGGGCATGCCCGAGAACCCAGTATCCCAAATTTTCAAAATTCAAATTGAAGTAGTTTCTGAAATAATTCTAATGGGCCGTCACCCTGTATGTATGTTTTCAGCCACGAAAATTTAACAATTCCAAATATTTTTAATTTTCATCACCAAGAACGGTGGTGACAACATTTTTAACACTAAGGCAATGTTTCACATTGTATTAGCTATATCCTGTCCAAATTTGGTCAGTGCAGCTCTCTCGGTTGCGAAGGTTCTTTTGTATAATTTTTCAACCACCAAGAGTAATTATGGTGACAACATTTTTAACAGTAAGACGATGTTATAGGAAAATACCGCTCAAGTCCGGAATTAAAAAATTATGTCAAAGCAATACATTTGGATACAAGTATAATTTTTGAATAAGGATGATTTTTCTTTGCAAAATAAAAAAAGTTTTCCCATGTCGATTTTGTAAAATCAAAAATGCAGTTACATTTTTTATGTAAAATTAAAAAAACGTCAAATCTAGTCAGAATAATTGATTAATGCATCATAATAATTTATATATTTATTAACATTATAATAGCATTTCATTACAACTTATTATAAAATAATATATATTTATTATTAAGGTACATCATACAAAAATAAAATTACATACATAAAATTAATAATAAACAAGAGCTTATTTAGCCTTTTTGAACTCATTTGCAGCATTGACTAAAACCCTATAAGATCAAGTTACTAATTCTGTTTCTGTGTCATCTACGAGTATATCATCTTTAAGTAAAGCAGACTCGGAGGTAAGACAGATCTTTCTATGCGACACCACTGGACGCTTTGTTGTCATCGATTTGAGGAACATTTAAATTAATTTCATCTTCAGCACGTGATTTGTTCGCATCGTTAGCAGCTTTAGTAAGATTTTCGAGTACAGTTCTAGCCAGAACCTTCTTAGACTTAGGTCTGACCCTACCACGTTTCAGAACAGCTTCGTCTTTTGGTAAAATTTCTTGCCAGTTATTTGCCTTCATTGCGTTCAAACCATCAAACCGTTTAATCAAACATTCAACTTGCACTTGTATCGTATCCCAGATTCCGTGTAAGTCATCATAAGAAACACACAAATTTCGTAATTGCTGAAATTTGTTGGAGATCAGTAACCTTGTCCAACCAATAGCCACGTTTATCATGTCGTTCGCTCGTTTCGGTAACTTGTTTGAACTTTTGTAACATTCCCACTTGTCAAAAATTCCTTCTATTCTGTTCATCTCATTGTTAAGCTATTGTAAAAAGTATTCGGCTCCTGTCTCAGCTCTTGTGTTACTCAAAATATCCCTGGCAAACTGGAGTTATCTCTCCAGGAGACCGTCTCAAGTGATACATCTTTCTTGCGTTGCACGTTCCTCGAGAGGCAGTTACATAAATAGAATCTTCATAAATATTATTGTTCTTAGGTGTATGAAAAGAATTATTTAACACCGTTGAATTTTTATCCGTTGCATAATCTGGCGATCCAGGTTCAATTGTAAAATTTTGAGGTTTTGTATCGCTTCGATATAATTTTTTTAGTTCAGGATTCGAGTAAGATTTTCTTAATCGTCTTTTAATTTTTTGAACATTTGCTGGTATATTCCTATGGTTTTCATTTGTATTGTTGTTATTAGGAGAACCTGAAACAGAACTCACAGATATTTTGCGATCTACTAAGTTTTCTTTTTAAATTAATACAATATGTTGTCTTTTAATTACAGTTTACAGTGACATTAAAAATCTGCAAAAACTATTGCATATTCAAAAATATCCAACCGAAATTAGTGTAGGTGTTAAGCAAGGATCGGTATTAGGTCCAGTATTATTTTTATTGTATATGAATGACTATAAATTTCTTATTTATCTACTACACACTGATGACAGATGTATAATTATGTCAAAAGTGACAAATTGTTAAAGTTAAAATATAATAATGTAATAAATATCTTATGTTACAGTTTCAATCAAACAAACAGTTTTCATTTCAGCACGAAGAAAACATTAGCAACGAGATTTCATAATAAAACGAAAATTATATAATAATGTATAGACATCTACTCAAATGTATTTAATCGCATTAAGCTTTTACATTTGTATACAGTGAAAAACACAGTCTTCGTATATAATTACAAGTCACATGACCAGTAACTTTGGTCGGAACAGTAATTTTATTTCCTTTAAGTTGGCAATAAAATTTAGTCAAAATTAAAAATTATTAAAACCATAAAATCAATATTACATTAAAACAACATTCTGTTTTGTCGTCTGGTGATTAGTGTAATTTTTCATGGGATTTTATTCAACCAAATTGTGATTGCATTATCTCAAGCGTAAACGTAATGGTTTGTCATTGTTCATTGTAAACAAATTATTAATATTCATATAAAACAATAACTGGCATGCCACATATGAGTAAATGAGTCTGTATTATTAATGTATGAACTTTGCATTTCTTAATAGAAATAATTTCATTTCAAATAAGGATCTTCGTACTGTTAATACGAGGAGAACTAACAAATGTACACCTAATTCATTAACACTTACAATTAGCATTGTTGTCTCCTACTTTAATACTCCGCTGGGTCGTTTCTTTCATTTTGGACTTGGCATTTTTAATCTTCATTTTACAATCAGCTGTTTTTTGTTTGCTACTGCTAGGTTTAAGGTTTTTTCTACTCATATCTATCTTGCTGTGGGAATTATTATTCTTCGCTTCATTAAATTTTTTTACTTGCTGGTCACAAGGCCTACCCCCTTTATTTCTTAACTGAACTGTATCCTCTTTACGTGTAAGTCTTGATAAAAGTCTATCTCCTCCCAAAGAACAAAATATATTACTTTTAAATAAATTTGCTTTTGCTGCACGAGATGTATGACAAACATTTGCTTTGTTTGGTTTTCCTTTAATTTTTTTATTTAGATTCTCCGAATTTGGCAAACCAAATTCATCAGGTACACGACAAACTTTAAACACAGGTTTTGCCTTTTGTTTTTCTTCTTGCCTATGTTTCTCTTTTTCTTCCTTCCATTTCTGTAACATCAACCATTTATCTAGCTTTTTTATATTAGTTGGTGATGCCATATTTCTATCTGATAGTATTTTTCGATTTTCATTAACTCTATCCGTTACCGATTTTTGGTGATAATTTTTTCCAATCGTAATTTTATGTAAACCAAAAACAACTTTTGAAGAACTCCGATATACTTTCCATGAATTATCGCAGATATTTCAATATTTCAGACTCAGACCATACACTTTTGTCTACACACATACTTAGAAATAAAAAAGTATTATTTGCAAAACAAAAAAGTACATAATAGCAATTTTTGTACATGTAAAAAATGTTGTTTAAAATTGTATCAAGATATACAATACACAATACTCCTTACTGCTTACTTGGTTGATTGCACTTTACCTAAATACATAGTCAGCTAAATTAAAATGCTCAAGGCGGTATCATACTCAACTGGAGTCGCTGAACACGCTGGGATGGTCGGTTTTTGTGCAAATGCCTCTGTCGAGAAAAAAATCGAAAATCTCCAGAACTGGCGGAGCTAGAGAGGGACTGAATGCAGTTTTGGATTGGTCATGGTCTTTATAGCTTACCGAAATTTTCTCAGATTTTTCTAATCTAAAAGTATCGTAAGTATACTATTTATTTTGTATATATTCTATTGCCTATTGAACAAAAACATAAATGAATCTGACAACTTCGGCAAAATATTTAGTTTTAGGAATTGTTATGCAACCAAGTATACATAAGTGTTGCATTATATGTTGCCTACGAGCATAAATTGAAGAGAATTGTATCTCTAATCTGCTCACGGTCTTTTTTACGGAACGCGGTGTCTGCTCAAGTAGATGCCTTTATATGTATAATATTTGTTTTGGCCCCTTGCCGCTGTGCCGAGCCTTTGTAGTGGGAAGAACGGATGTTGAGCGGCGCTCGCGCTGGTAGATTTCACGTTATGTTTTCTTTGAAGTTTGTAAGGTACATGTTTTGTGGTGCGACAATTATTATAAAAGCAATAATAAAGCAATTTTTCATAACATATTAAAGTCCACTTTTCATTCCTCATCTTATAAGAAAATACCGACAAGCTGATTTCAACAAAATATATAAAATTTTATACAGTCAAACTAATTATTGTATTTTGTATTATAAGTTCCCTACCGAACAAAAATTTAAATTGAACTGAAAGGAAACAATCATAAATTTCGAAAACTGGTGGAGCTAGAGAGGAACTGAATGCAGTTTTGAGTTGGTCAGGGCTGTTATAGTTCACCGGAAACTTTCCAGATTTTTCTCTTGAGTTATAAAAACTTTTTGGAAAAATCGATGGACTATGAAAAATGCCAAAAATTTAAAATGTCTTTCTAGAGGCGGTTTCGTATGCATTTGGAGTCGCTAAACACATTGTTAGAGTCGGTTTTTCTGCAAATGCCTCCCTTAGGAAGAAAGTCGAAAATCTGTAAAACTGGAGGAGTTATAGTGAGGAACTCCGCCATTATTCTATGGCTAGAAATTGGCCTCAATGATTTGGGATCAAGGGGGATTATCCCTCTTTATCCTGCCTCATCTCGTGTAGGCCTGGACA